ATTTAGCAAATACACTTCATAGGTGGTGGTATAAACTTTCATCAGGAAATATATAATTATTCCTGGTGGTTGTCTCTCATTTGTGATATTAGCATTGAAGATCATCAAGGATTGCAAAATGGTAATATTCTAATTATTTTATTCTTTATTTACTTATTAAACTTTTCCTCTAAGGAGCAACTTCTCTATATGTACCACTGGGTTAACAATAGTTCCTTCAGAAAGTTTAGCAAAGGCAGGATAAATGTCAGTTTTCAAAATGAGTACCTAGTATCCTCCAAAGATGACCAATGGAGTTTTTTTTTATAATTTGTTTAATAATTATTAACTCACTGATATAAACTAACTGATATAAACTTACTTGGTATATTCCAACTACTATTATTATCCTTATTAATGCTCAAATTTTCTCATTTGGGGGCACAACAAAAAGCCACTTTTGGTGGCTACTAAATCCTTTTAACACGACCTCTGTAATTTTTCTTGTTCTCTGGCACAGTAAGACAGTTCAGGCTTAATTTGTGTATCTCCTGCTCCACATTTCAGATCAGCCATCTTTCTAATGGGTCCTGGCCCTTTTAGAGTAAAATGGGTATTTGGAGACCACAATCTGGGCTTATGGGTGCTCAACACAAAGATGCCTACTATCACCATTATACTACAGGTACAGTGTGGTAAAGAAATTAAAAATGTGGATAAGGATGGAAACTTAGGGAACTGACATTATTTACAGACAACAGCACTGACTATATGGAAACAATGAAGTCCACAGGGACTCTTAGAAGTGCAATAATGTTGCTAGGGAGAGAAATACGCAAAAATCAATGATGTATTTCTGTATAACTAAAACCTAATTATTCAACTTTTAAGACTGCTATTTGCAATAGGAAGAAGAGCTCCAAGGAACCTATAAATTTCACCAAAAGTGTGTAAGACCTTATGGAGAACACTGTAAAACTTTAAAAAACAAGGAAGTGGAGTGCTATACTCTATTGATGGAAGGGAAGACTATTGTAGACAGATAATTGGGTATAGCAGGCCAGGCTGAAAATGGGAAGAAATAGAGAATTTAAGCCCCAGCTAGAAAAGGTCACCAGCCTACTAGAGCTCTGGGAAAATGTTCATCCAGTGTTGTAAAATCCTCTAATTTCTAAGAGGAACCAGAAATACAGATTTCTATGATAAGTTCCTTGATTTTTACATTGGCAGCAAATTCAAAACAATTTAATGTACTCTGCAATACAAAATACATCTGTGGAAGAATTTGGACCCCAAGCCACCATTTTTTTACTCCCATACATTTACTCCCACCTCGTAACTCAACTTTATTTCTAGGTTGTGTTTAAGCCAAACACATGAAAGGTTACAAACCATACAGGAAATCTATCATGGCTTTTGTTGTAAAAATGTTGAAGATACACTGTTTTACATTACCAAGAGGCTCCTAGATAAAAGACTCACATAAGAAAATCTATTTTAGGGACAATTAGCTGGCTCAGTTGGAAGAGCATGAAACTCTTAATCTTGGGGTCATGAGTTTGAACCCCACACGGGTACAGAGATTATATACAAACATATATACATAAATAAATAAAAATCTGTTTTAGAATTCAGTAACTTTCTTTTAAAAATTTTTAATATTTATTTATTTTTGAGAGGGGGGGAGGGCAGAGAGAGAGGGAGACCCAGAATCCAAAGCAGGTTCCAGGCTCTGAGCCGTCGGCACAGAGCCCAAACAAGGGGCTCAAACCCACAAACTGTGAGATCATGACCTGGGCTGAAGTCAGACACTTGACTGAGCCACCCAGGTGCCCCAGAATCCAGTGACTTTTCAAAGAAATTTTTTTGCTGTCCTTGAGGGAATAGTAAAATCAGTAATACTTGAATTATTTATGTAGAAAACATAAATGTTTAACATTTAGTAATTTATTAATCTTCATAATAATAATCCTATAAAAGAGTATGAAAATTGTCCCCATTTTACAGATGAGGAAACTGAGACAAGAAAGGTTAAAGATCTTGCTCAAAATCACTAACAGGAGGGGAGCCTGGATGGCTCAGTCAGTTAAGCATCCGACTCTTGATTTTGGCTCAAGTCATGGTTCGTGGGACTCTCTCATACCCTCTCTCTGCCCTTCCCCCCCTCAAAATAAACATTAAAAAAAAATCAGAGATAGTAAAGTAACAAAGCCATAATTCACATCCAGGCAGTCTGGTTCCTGTAGCTGTGCTTTTAAATTCTGGTTATAACAACCATGTAACTGGATTTTTTTTCTTGCCTTAGCTGCCTCACCATCACCAAGTACAGTGGCTTTGGGTTCTGCATTCTTCCTTTTCCCAACTCTTATTTTCTACCATCCTTTTGTTTTGTTTTTTACAGACGCTGGTCATGTATGTTACCTCAAATCTTCTGTACAGCAAGTCAGGACTAAAGTAATTAAATAAATAGTTAAGAAACATATTTAAACTATATCCAAAGAATGAACAGGTTTTAGCGTTATACAAAGTTGAGTTCTAATCCTCTCCCTAATATTTACTAGCTGTGTGAATTTAAACAAGTCAATCTCTGAATTTCAGTTTTCTCATCTGCAATATGAGGATATTACCCACCTTGTGGGTTGTGGGTTTCATTGTAAAGTTTAAAACACTTTTCAAATGTGGCTAGTAGGAAATTTTAAATTACATATCTGGCTCATATTTTTATTTCTATTGAACAGCATCATGCTAGATACTGCAGTAAAAAGTAAAAAGAAACAGGTGAAATTAGTTTTAATAATATATTTTATTTAACCCAATATATCTAAAATACCATTTCAACATATAATCCACATAAAAATTATTAGTTAGATATTTTACAGCTTTCTTTTGTACTAAGGCTTCTAAATACAGTATATATTTTACACTTACAGCACATCTCAATATGTACACTATATATCCATCAAAAATATTTTAACTGTATTTAGACTTCATTAAATGTACAATTGATAAAGTAGATTCACATACTCAAGTTGTCTAAAACATTTAAGTTTTCCAGTAACTGCATCAATATCCCCCCAAATTTATTTTCCTTTAATATTCGCCTCAGTTGAACGAGCCACATTTCAAAAGACCAGTGGCTATACAGCTACTAGCTATCATAATGAACAGTACAAGTGCAAATAAAATAAACAAATAAAATGCAATAAACGGTAGCTGTTTTTACACATAGTTAAGTGAAAATAGTACTGTGATTCATACACGCAGGTGAGAGAACCGAGATATGAATCTTTTTATGGATATGTTATAAAAAAATTCTGATGGGCAAGATTGGATAGGGCCAGGATTTACTCCAAGAGGAAATAGATTAAGGGACTTAAAAGTGGGATTCCTATTCTCACTCAGAAAAACCTTTTTTTTTGGGGGGGGGGGGTACAATTTTAGTACAGTTTCCTTGAGTATTAACACTTTCCACCTATGAATTAAATGTCTTATCAAATAATTAAATTCCAGAATGCCCCCCAAAAAGCCATCTACTAAAGCTGGAAAGCATATTTTATTTACATACAGTATAGAAATGACTCTTAGAAATATAGAGATTGCTCTTTCACAAATGAAATATCATCAGTCTTAAATCTATCCTATTATTTTAAATTCAACAACTGGTCTTAAAAGAACTCCTTTAACTCCATGATGTTAACAGTGGTTACCTCGAGTGGAGGGCTTAAGAGATTCCCCACGCCTTGCCATCCTTGACTATCTTTTACAGCTCAACATATCAGATTTCTATAAATATAACCAAATGGGTCTACTTAAAATCAACCAACAAAAACGTATGAGTATCTATTTGCTTTATACTATGACATGCATTAAATGTATAACCACCTGGATCACTTTTTGATGTGGTAAAAACATATAACATGTTTATTCAGAGGAGATAGCTGTTGTTTTTGTCTACCTAGTACCTGGTCCGTTTCTCTAATACTAACACCTGAATCTTCCTTTGGGAAATTAATGGTCTTCCACTCTCAATCATGTATTTCTAGTGAGGGTGATCTCACTCCCAGGCAAAAGATAAGCATAAAACTAACCCAAGTCAGTCTGATAAGATTCAATCCCATTACTGTTTTAACTCAGAGGTGGGGTGATCTCCTTTCAATGGAGGTACTGAGCTGAATAAAAGATAAATGTGGCCATCTTCCTGGATAAATCAAATAAAACATTAACAAAAGCTATCTGTGAATAATGGAAACATGGATGGTATTTTTCTCCTTCTACCTAATGTTGCACATTCTTTCAATTTTGCAATCTTTTCCTTAAGAACACTATTTAGTATGTAATACAATTCTTAAATTATCTAAGATAAAATTTAATGGCATTAATAAGAATTTAAAAACCCACTAAACCCTTCTCTGTGACTCCATCCCCATATGTATAAACATAGAAGAAAGCACGTCTTGCTTGAATACCAAATACCATGCTCAAAACCTAGACTGGCTATAGCTAATAATATGCATTTGTGTGTAGTAGAAAATCAGGAGGCACAGTCACTGTAGCAACCCAGTAACAAAGTAATTAGGACAAAATCCATAAATGCCATGATGTGGCAACTTATTTTACTTAAAAACATCTATTTGGAGTGTTCCTCCTTGTATCATTGTGCACACAGAATATAATTAAGGAAACATTTAGCAAACATTTCTTAAATATTCATTATAGTCCAGCCACTCTAACAGACCAATCACAATCTAGTGGTTATCCTGGTCAGTCTTTAAGTAAGCTAGCTGCCACCATCAAAACATAGTCTAATCCATATAATGAGAGATTCTCAATGGAAAGCACTGACAGCAGTATCATGTGTTTCCAGGTCTGCAACTTTCTCACTTCTATCCTCAGTTCCACAATGATCAGATTACAAGACTATCAAGAATATTCTGTCCTCACTGACGGGGAAACATCTGCCCTCCTTGAGCTGTCATTCCAACAAGAACAGCCTTGCTAGATGTGGTCTCAGCCCAGCCTACCTGTCCAAAGTGAGCAGGGTAGCCCAGCATGTGCATATATAGTAATTTTGCCACATTCCGACACCGGTAAGTATTGTCTTCTTCTCTAAAAGATGATCGGATTGCAGCACATTCTTTCTGGATCATTTCTCGTTCTTCGGCTTGGGTTCGGGCTGTCCGGATGGTCCGGATCAGCTCCCGCAATCTGATGGGGGCTGGCATCCTCTGTTTATAGAAAGACATTAAATAAAAATGTTCACATTTTTCACTACCAAAAGCATTCACACAACTTCTCACATAAATTTCCAATTTTTAAGAATTCAAGACTTGCTCAGTCCAACAACATAAAGCTTCAGCAAAGCTATTACATACAAACCCATTAATTCGGTAAATTTCTGGAAAAAATATAAACAAAAATGTTAAGTATTAAGCAAGATAAGACACAGAATATATCAGTATGTAAAATCCATCATTAGTATCAAACTATGTTAAGAACTAACTCAACCCAAATATTTACTCAAGAAAGAGAAAAGACATATTTTCTATGCCTAACCTTAGAGAAGACAGATTATTTTCTGCTGAACTGTTAACAGAGCTCAATAAATTATCAGATAAATACTGAATATGATCACAATCAAAGCTCAACTCAACTGGGGCGCCTGGGTGGCTCAGTCGGTTAAGCATCCAACTTGGGCTCCGGTCATGATCTAGCAGTTTGTGAGTTCGAGCCCCACATCAGGCTCTGTGCTGACAGCTCGGAGCTTGGAGCCTGCTTTGGATTCTGTGTCTCCCCCTCTCTCTGCCCCTCACTCACTTGCACTTTGTCTCTCTCTCAAAAATAAATAAACGTTAAAAAAAATTTTAAGAAAAAAAGCTCAACTCAACAAAATGAGAGATCAGGAGAGAAGACCAATTATCAGATTTAAACACTTCCAAGAAACAGTAATCATCTTGGTACACTGGGTACTCTTTGAAAATTGTTATGAGGAAAAAAATAATAAACCAATCTCACAGGATAAGACTATTAGAATCATATTCTCACGAAAAATTTTTAAATAATAATGATAAACCTGTAATAGCCAAAATTAAGGGGAAAAAAGAACAAAGTTGGAGAATCTGCACCACCTAATTTCAAGAAATACTACAAAGCTACAGTAATCAGGACAATGTGGAACTGAATTTAAGGGCAGACTCAGGATCATGATGCAAAATAGAAAGTTTAGGAATAGACCCACACAAATAAGCTTAACTGATTTTCAACAGAGAGGCCAAGGTTATTCAATAGGAGAAAGGGTATTCCTTCAACAAATGGTGCTGGCACAACTACGTATCTATATAAAGAACCAATTAACCTTGAACCCTAACCTCACATAATATACAAAAATTAACTCAAAATGGGTCATAGACCTAACATTAAAGCCAAAACTAAAAATCTTCCATAAGAAAACATAGGAGGAAATCTTTGGGAACCTTTGTCTCCCTACCTTCCCACCTCTCTCTCTGTCCTTCCCCTGCTTGTGCTCGCTCTCTGTCCCTCACAAAAATTAAAAAAAAAAAAAAAA